ACAGTTTTTCGTATGATCACAGGAGTGTTTATATAGTTCTTCGTTATTGTTGTGTTGGAAAATTAATATCACTAGTTTCACCCTATTTATTTTTCAGAATGCTTAGATTAGTACTCCTTGGGGCGCTGGCCTCCGTGGCCTTTAGCATGAACCTGGGTGGCATGAATTTGGGAGCCAGTAAGTCATGTACTTTTTACATCCTTTTTTCTCATATCGTATATTAGGATTTTCTGCGTATCACGATTATTGCGAAAACACGCCAATTAAAAAAAAAATCTGTATACCGTTTACAATCAATGAGATGTTCATACAAATTAATTTTTGCGATCTTAAAATGATCGGGTTTTTTGCGTTCTTGAAATAATCGTTAAGAAAGCAAAAATTTGATAATTGCAAGAATTACCCATCAACGACGTTATAGTTAGATCCCTATGATTGCTGTAAAATACCGCGAGAAACTTCACTTGCGTAACTGAGTTGCTCACTTTTACTTCAATTTTGTTGAAATACATGTAATAATCCTTGTTTAACACTAAACAGACCTCTCAAAAATCCTTGTTCTCGCAAATTAGATTTTATTTAACATTTAGCATCACACATAAGAAATCTACACTTTTAATTTACAAATTTCTATCATGAATACATTTCCTTGGATGAAATTAATATTTGATGTATTTTCTAAAAGATTTTATGCAAATTTTATTTATCGAACGGAGAGCAAAATGTTTGCCAGTTTCAGAAATTGTAAAACAAATCCGGAAAAAAACCTTTCAATTTCAGTGGGTGGCCTAATGGGAAACCTTGGAAACATGCAACAACTTATGAAAAACATGCCACCAGGGGCTCTTGAAAATGCCATCAAAAATTTAACCCCCGAAAAAATTAACCAGGCCCTGGAAAGCCCCCAGGTTCAGAAAATGATGGAAGGAATGGGTACGTAGATTTTTTTTCTGTTAATAAATTAATTTGAATTGTAATAGAATTCAATCGCTGTGGATTTAAATTCATTAATCGTAAAAACTTATATGTGTTTTCATTCCGTACTCAATTTGTGCATTTAAAACATATTTCGCTATTTGATACTTTTGTATATATTTAACAACTTGTGAAAATAATTTATCAGAAATATTAAGAAAATGATTTAAAAACATGAAATGAAAAGAAAACCTGACATTGATATTGCAGGAATATCAAAAGAACAGGCTGAGCAAGCCGTAAAAATGCTTCCCAAAGACCCTGAAAAGCTCGCTGGCATGATGACCGAAAAAATCAGCGGCACAAAGGCAACCTTGGAGGGCATGGGCGTACCAGGTTAGCTAAAACTACAAAACCCGCGGAACTCAAGTTAACGTCTATATCAGTTTTAATCTAAACTTTAAAAACTTTATTCATTGCAGTTGACGAGCTTCCCGAGATCATCGACGAACTCAAGAACAAATTCAAGGATGACTTTGGAATCGATATTGACAACGGTAATTGATTTATTAAATTAAAATAAGTGTGTAAAGAAATGCGCGCGTATTTGTCTTGGCATCTTAAAATATATAAATTTCTGTGACTTCTTTCTTCAGATGATGAAGAATCCATCGTTGGCAAATTGAAGCAGGTCGCCATTGACCGCATGAAGGAGGAGGGAGTAGACATTGATCCCGAAGACCCCGAGAAAACAAAGAAATCCATGATCCAGAGAGCCAAGGCTTACTTCGGAGTCTCTCGTGAGTGGCCCAACAATTCAACTTCGCTTTCCTAAAATTTTCTTCAAAAATGTTAATCTCATATCGTATTTTATTATAGCCGATATGGACGATGAGGAATTCAAGAAGATTGTCATCAAAGACGTTCTGATCAACCTTCAGGAGCAGGGATTCGACATTGACCCCGGTAATTCTTTGCTTCCGATCACATTTTTTTTTTATCACGTGTTCATTTCACTTAACATTTTTTTTTCCCTTTCACTGGAAAAATTTACAGACAAAAAAAATGAAAATAAACAAATTACATGTACATGTTTTGTTTTTGTTAACATTTTATACTAGTATTGATTCGGAACCTTACTAATACATCCTCTCCGCTCCCTAGCATTGCTTTGTTACGATACTTGAAACTAGTATGACGTCATTAATTTTTTGATGAACCATTTTACAGAGGAGCCCAAGGAAGCTATTATAAAACTGAAATCCATGGCCCTGGAGATGGCCAAAGACTACGGCTTCGAGATTAACGAGGAGATGGAATGGCCCGAAATCAAGCAGAAGCTCATGGAGGTCATGAGAGAGAAAGGCGTTCCTGTTGGTGAGTACAAATGTTAAAATCATCTTAAATTAAAAAAAAAGCTGCTTGATGGCTTATATTTAAATTTAAAATATATTTGGCGAAGAAGATCTAGCGCAGCACATCTATAGAAAATATATTTTTTAACTACTAGTATTCATTTTTTCTTTGATTCAGATGACCAAGAGAAACTGATCCCATACTTGGCAGAGAAATTCCAGGAATACCAGCCACTCATTATGGAATTCCTCAGCAACATGCGTAAGTTAGGGAAGATCTTGGCGATTTTTTTCCTGATGTTTTTTCTGATGAACATCAGATCCAATATGACTTTTATGAGTTTTAAGTGTTGCGTTCAATTGATCAAAGGAAAAAGTGATATATTAACGAACTTGAAATGAAATTTCTAATTAATATTTTATTTATCCCTTCAGAGCCCCAGCCCCAGGTTCCTCAGGTGATTCCCCAGATGATGCCTCAGATGAGACCAATCCCCTTCATGCGCCCCATGCCAGTGCAGCGTCCACCATTCGGTCAGTACATATACATGTAACATGTAGTTACTCCTACTCGTGTGATAAAAACACTTGATTGCATAAACCTTAAAAAATTTGAATTCTGTAGTAATTGTGAACGTTGATTTTGTTAAATTTAACTTACCACTGAGTATTTCAAACTTTCAGCCATGCCCTTGAACCTTAACCTTGAAATCAACATCGATGGTGATAACCAGCCAAGCTTTGGTGACAGATATCGTAAGTCCGATGTTAAATGTGGAAAATTTAAACTATAATAATTTATATAGTTTGTAAATAACTCCATTTAAAAAAAAGTTATTTAAACAATTCTGAAAATGGAATAAACAATCTAAAACTTATTTTAAAAATAACCTTTTCTCAGTAAAACAAGGTCAACATACATTGAATCAAAAGCGATACTTATTTTGAATTCATTTATCATAAATATATCTCATACTTTTTCGTCTTCTTTAATTCCTCTTTATTTGAACTAAAACCTACTAACTTTCTATGTAAATTTGTTTGTATCATATTCAGAATATAACGAGCAGGAAGAGATGATGGAAATGCTACAGGATCTCCTTCACTAGTAAGTACCGGCGGTAACCAATCAAAATACAAAAATTGACGCGTTCAAAAGTTTATGCAATCACTGGATGTTGAGTGGTTGGCGTAATTTTGAATTAGCGCTACACACGTCTGTTTTTTGGATTTTTTTTAGCGGTGTTGAAAAATTAGCTCATTGTCGTCCGAGCCAATGCCGCCAAAATATGACGCCTGCTTTTTTAAGTATCCATACGGTATATATGATAAAAGCTAATTTTTCGTCCTTATTTGTAGCCGCCACATGGCCAAGAGACTGATCGCCGAGAACCAGATGCTTCAGCACCGTCTGATGGCCTTGGAGAGACCCGTAATGTCAAGGTCACCCATGATTACCGCCATCATGGCCAGACCTGAAGAAGAGGAGTAAATGATAGAAAAATAAATAAAACATCAGAAGTAGACCTGCAGCTCTGACCAGAACAACACAGGGAACATGTAAATCAGCAATAGATATGTTTTTATTGATCTACCAGCAACAAGTCTTGTATACCACATTTTCATTAAAATTTGTAAACAAAATTTTATTGTTTTTACTTGTATTTTGCAGTTGTGTACCAGATCACTGGTACTGAAGGTACATATTAAATACAATTATATATAATGCATAAGCACAAAGAATAGGCAATCACACATATACAAATAAAGGGCATTTTACTAATCAGGGTCTTTTTTAATCAAATGCATGAAATGATTAATTGTAGTTAACGTAGAAAATGGCGTACATGTATTCGATAACTTGCACAAGTTTCTTCAAAGTGAGTGTCTTTTAAAAGTATGATACATTTTACATAAAGGTCATGGACGAACCGGGGGGGGGGGGGGGCACGGATGGTACCCCCCTTTCTCAATATATTTTTCCAGTATATACTTCGTTATAGAAAACAAAGCAATTTTTATGAATTCTAAAGACTACTATTTTTGAAGGTAGTACATGTACTCCCAAAAATGAAATCCGCAAAATCGGTTTAAAGAAACCTGGAATGGTTGCAACTGTTAATCCCCGTATTTAAAAGGATATATAGAAAGATAGATACAATTTTTTATAATATTTATTTGTATTTATGATATAATGTGTGATTATTTATCTGTTTTAATTTTTAAATATTGAACAAATGTGCTTAATATTATGTTGCATTGATGCGAGAACCCATCTCTTAAGAAAAATCTTAAACACCAATGTCTAGAATTTAGAAATTACAAGACAATTCATTTTCTGGACCTGAACAAAAGAATATTTTGGTAAAAATCATAATTCCTTTTTTAAAGCAATACCGGTATCTATTCCTATAATTGGAGATTCTTTATGAAAAAACCCCTGGAGGTTCTTCACAAGAGAGTAACAATACCCGAATTATTAATCATACCGTTTCAAGCTATCCTAATATTTTTTTATTCCATGCTAATGGCTCTTCTTCAAAGTGGGAGTAAAATAAAGCACACGCATGTCATTGCCGATTTAATTAAAAAAATCAAACATCACAGCATTACGTTTCATGAATTGTAATTGTCGTGAACGCAAAAATACTTTGAAGACTACTATCCATCGAAGCCTTTCATTCTACCAGAATGACTCTTGACCGGTTGATGTTGTGGAAAAGAACAAACGTGATCTAAAAACAATTTATCATCATTACACTAATTCAACTTCTATTCATTTTCTTTTATTCCCATTCTTACCTAGCAATAAGAAAGTTTGATGTCAATGCTCCTACTTAGAGATTAAGGTTATTCACTTATCAAACATGTTAATAATAACAATTTCTTGATGTTTTCACATAACCCCTGGTAATGAGCGATTTCAGACGGTCATTTAGTTTAACTTGTGTATTACAAACTGATACGTAACTGTACCGAGCCCTGCTGAATGGGGTGCTGCCTGGCGCCCTCTCTGCAATCTACTCTGTTCCACGTGTACATTTCCTTGTCGCATGCCCTTAAGTTGTGCACAACTTCCGTAATCTGCATGTTACCCGGGACTGCCATGTTACATAAGGCGTGGTATATAAATATCAAAAGAAGTCAAACTACCCAGTTACTTTGAGAACTCACAAGCAGTAAGTATTTTGGACACAATTTTGAATTTTTTTTTATAGAAATTTTGGTTTTCTGAGCATATCAATCTTATTTGAAAAAAAAAATTTAAAATTACTCACAGTCAGGTTTATTTATTTCAAAAGGATATGCCAATTTTCACCAAACCTTAAATGTATTATTTCCTCATTCAATTGAAATACATCTAATTTTAGAAATCTAAAGTAATAGTTGATTCTTTTCTTTGCAGAAATGATCCGGATTGTAATTGTTGGACTGTTGGCAACAGTTGCCATGGGTCAAAGTAAGTTTGAAATTATATAAAGAAAAAAAATCAATGTAATTCTGTAAAAATGTACAAACAATGCATAGAGATAACAGCTTAAGTATTATTGAAATGAAGATAAAATAAAACACGTACTAGGAGAGGTACCTAAGAGCAATGATTTATAGTTCCTAGCTTTTTCAAAAATAACAAGTGCTTGAATTCCCTATTAATGTATATTTTTATTTTTATTTTTACAACATACTGTACTTTCATGTTGTTTAATTACAAAATATCTTAATCTTTTTAGTGTTTGGAGGGATGGATCTCTCCAGCATGATGTCAAACATCAACCCCGAAATGTTGAAAGATTTGACACCCGAGAAAATCCAGGACGCCCTTAAAAATCTCCCCCCAAACATGAAGGAGATGATGGGCAATATGGGTACGTTTAATTAATACGGCATAAATGTGTGCTCCCCCTCTCTGTAAAAAAGGATATGAAAATTGATGAAAAAAATGGTCGTTCATGAATGTGTTTCTTGCGCTAGTCAAGTTCCATTAAATGAACAATTTTTTCTATGAATAAGAAACAGAGTTTAAAAAGTTTTTCCTTCAAATTTATTTTTATTGTAAATAAACTATATAATGATGTATTTTTACATTAATTAATCAATTAAATTATTTTCTTTTATTTTTCAGGAGTTGACGAAAGCCAGCTTGAGGATATGGTGAAGAACTTGCCAAAGGACATGGATCTGAGCGCTCTCGCTGACCAGGTCAAAGGTCAAGTTGGATTTGACATGGACCAGATTAAAAATGCCATGAAAGGAATGGGGATTGAAGGTGACCATCATATGTGTAATTATAACATAATATACATATATTATAATGTTATATAACATCAAATTACGTAACTGGTAATTTACAAGGGGAATTACACAGTCATATACCGATCAATTTTTACTGGTCATTAATTTAAAAAAATTTTTAAAAAAAATGAAAAAGTGCTTCATAAACAAATAAACAGTTAACATACATGTATGCTTACGCAAACAAGTTTTATATTCCCTCTGAATAACCTTAGAAGTTAATGTAATGTTTGATCTATACAGGTGACCTCAGCGAAGTCGTTGGCAAGATGAAGAAAGATCTCTTGGAACAGGTTCAGAAGGATTTAGATATCGAGATGGAAAATGGTTAGTCTTTTTACTGTTTAACTGTAATTAATTGAATTTAACTATTAATTTATTGACTAGTTATCTTTAGAACAATTTGATTGGTTAATTTGTCATGATACAGTTGACACCAGCGACATCGTTGACAAGCTGAAGGAGAAGATCATGGGTGACCTTGAGAAGCAGGGACTGGACCTCAGTCACCCCGAGGAGCTGAAGAGACAGATCCTAGAGGAGATGAAGGTGTCCTACGGAGTGGAACGTAAGGACAGGAAATTTGTTATCAAACAAGTTATATAAATGTTCCTCTGTGAATTCTATATTCTTTCAAACGTAATAAAACTGATAAACTTTTTACAACACTTGAAATGATGACGTCAAACATTCTTGCAGCCGACATGGACAACGAGGAATTCAAGCAGATGATCGTCAAGAACATCATTAGTGACCTGAAAGAAGAAGGTTTCGATGTCGACCCGGAAAATCCAGAGGAGTCCCTAATGAAACTGAGAGAAATCGCCAACGAAAAAGCCAGAGAGTTCGGATTTGACTTCTCCAACGGATTCGACCTCACTTCCATGGGAAACAACATCATGGAGAAATTGAGGGCTTTTGGAGTTCCAGTTGGTACGTTGAGTCAAATCATTGCAAAGTTTCTAGTGTAAAAACTGTTCAAACATATTATTTACTTATTTCCTTGCAGTTAATTATATTATTAAAAAATAATTAAAAGAATAGCATCCTCGCAATGCCAGGGGGTCCTGACGCGGTGCCGTTGCGAGGATGACACAATAGATATGTCAAAAAATGTAAATAACATTAAGTTGAAAGCTTTAAGTTTGTATTGCACGTTGTATTTATTTATACAGATGAGCCAAGCAAACTCCTCCCCTACATCATGGAGAAGGCCCAGGAATACATGCCAATGATCCAGGAGATGATGGTGGCCCAGTCCATGCCCCCAGTTCAGCCCGTCCCCGTCCCCATGGGACCCGCTCCCCAATACGGAGGTAAGGTGTCGTCTTTGTACAGTAACTGTGTTATCAAGTAATTCATCTCCAAATAATTTTGAGAAAAATAAGTTTATATTCTATGAAATATGTTTAGTCATGGATTTACCAAATCAATGTCATTTTGCAAAATCTTACAAATTCTCGAAAAAAAAAATGTATATGTACTTCCATCACTTCCATCAGTAGATTCACAGTGTCTGACTTAGATTTGAGATGATGTGTATTCTTTTAATAGCTCCCCTGACCTTGAACCTTGAGATCAATGTTGATGGTGGAGACAGACCCACCAATGTCGGCATGCCCGTCAGCCATTTCTCTGAGGAGGAAGTTAGTGAGCTGCTCCAAGATCTCCTCCACTAGTAAGTCAAGAAACGAAGTTACACCGGGCATTTCTTACTTTCTTCCTTTATTTATTGCATTAAGCAATGAACACACAAGCCAGATACTTAAATCACATAAGAATTCGCCATTTAATCATCAATGAACAATTAACATTCGTTTTGGGGTAAAATATAAGTTTATTCACAACTGACATGGTACTTTATTGAAACATACCTTTCCATTTTACAGTCGCACTCTGGCCAAGAGTCTGATCGCCAAGAACGAGATGCTTCACCACCGCATCGAGGCGCTAGAGACCAGACGACCCGTGATGTCAAGGTCACCCATGCTCGGAGCTCTTATGCACAAATACCACGAGGAAAACTAATAATCTTTTCCTGATTATCCAGAAGTCAGTAGGCGTTTTTTTTCTTCGGTGCCACGAGCAGACACAAAGAAACGCCTGAAGCCACACTAAAACGCTTGTAGAAATTGACTGAAAGTGTTGACTGAAAATTGCTGTTGAGAATAAATATTTATGAAAGTTGATTTATTTTATTTGCTTTTATATATCTGAGAACAGACTTGAATTTAAAAAATATAATTTTGACACACCTTTCAAAAATCATAAGAACTCTGTATTTCTATTTTTTTTTTACGAGATCAGAACAATAATTGTGCATCAATCTTTGATTTCTAAATTTTTTCTATGTACTCTTTGCATACTGTTTTTAATGGCTCCTGTAAAACCAATTTCTATCAACGACTAACTTCAAGATATAGATATTTAGGTAACAAACATGCAATTTTCTTTAAAAAGAAAAACTTCTATGAAAGTTTGAACAGTCTATAACTGAATGTGAAAGCGACCTAGATTGGTAGGGATCGAACAATCAATGGACCGGAAGTATCGAAAAGAGAGATTGTAAACTTGTCTGACCAGTTTCTTGAGTTTGATAAGAATATCGCACAAGGCAAAAATAAATTCCATTAATTATCACTAAAAAAGATCTCATTACCACCGTCTGAACTACCCGAAGGGCCCTGAAACGTTGATCTGCGTAAAACGATGCCAAAAGTAATTTAATTAATTTAATTAGCTCTGGTACGCGCGTCTTGCTCTCGAAAAGTATATCGAAGAAAACTAGCAAAGGAGTCGGTAAAAGGACATTCGATTTAAACTTTTGTGAAGCAGGTGGTGTCCTCGTTTGCCTATTTCGGGTGATTTCCTCAAAAATTACATTCCTAGTTCAAGAATTGCGATGGGAGTCCTATTCTTTGACTGACTGATTGGATTGATGTGATTTTCCTCATATAACTTGAACCTATTATACATGTTAACAATTTGCATTCAGAAGTAACATTGTAAAACTTGACTTCAAAGAAAGGCAAGAATTTAATTCAAAATACCATTGGGATAATTTCTTCAAAACAAAGATCAATTTTTTCCGGGAAATCTGATATCTTCTCCGTTCTGACCACGTCAAATATAACGTGGGATTGTTGGCAAATCCTTATGTCTACTGATATGCAATTTATCATCAATACTTTGAAATGAAATATCCCATGAAGCGAATATTCAGCTGCAATAGTTACGATCAGATGAAGTGATTTTTACTCTTTTTGAAAAGCTTCATATTCAGTTGAGGTGGATAAAGAAGATGAACGAGCGCTCTTTTGAGACCATTGATTCTTACATCTCCGAATGTTTAGGGAACAACTTGTTGGATATTCTCCTGTTAAGACCCGAGGTCAAAAATTCAGGTAAGCCATTTATTCGTGACATCATTAGTGTTATTTAAAATTCTACCTGAGATTTGTGAAGAAATTACCACTTTTACGGAAAAAGACAATTCTACAATTTGGACATATGAACAAAAAAATTATTATTTCGAATAAATTTTTTATAGTCGTATCCAACACAAACATTTATAACTGTTCAATATTTAATTCGATTATTTAAAGAAAGTAACATAAACAAATAAATAAAAAATGGTAAAAAAAACTAGTTTTTGTCCAGTTAAGGCTCATTTTAGAAAATTTGCTCTTTTGGAGAGTTTTACTCGAGGAATATTTCATCAAAGTTTGAGCTTTATACCTCGCTATTAATTCCCATCCCTGCTAGTTCATTATAAATCAACAGAGAGAAACTGAATTTATGAGTTAAGGTGCAGCCTTCTGCGATGAGAAAAGAAAAATCAACGCTAATGTAGCATACGGATTGTAAATGGTCAATCTGATCCGAGCTAGGTCGATTTTCTCAATTATTTTGGGGTTTTGGATAAATTCCGCCAGTTGTAAGTTTTGAAATTAAATCCACTAGAAAAAACAGACCATGCATTTGATGGGCTATCCATTTTTGATTTGACGGAACATATGAAATGCTAAAATAACAGAATAAAAGATTATTTGAACATTTATCTAATGATATTTTGCTTTCTCTACCTTTTCCTTTTTGTAAGTTTACTGAACTATCATACAGTCACGTCTGAAAATACAAACTACCCAAATAAGAACATTTGTCGGATATTCCGTGCTGTTTCATCATTTGCGATTGGAACCCTTAGATCTCTACACAGTGGGAAGAAATTCTGGATTTATTTCTGCTCTAGGAATGCTCTCTGTTGCAAAATAAAACAAATAAAGTCATCCAGAAAATGCCGAATGCAGGATTTTTAAAAAATGATTCTCTATCAGCCAATGTTGAAAGCAAGCACATCTGTCTCTGACTGCATAGCTTACAATACCCTAGTAGTAGCATCTCTTCGATCGTTATTAAAAGCTTTATCAAAGTGAAAACCTTACAAATCAAAACCGTTGGTATTTATCGGTACCAACCTAGAGATTAATCTGAAGTTTGATGGCAAGAAAGCCCCTTCCTTACCTTATTTGGAAATAATGACAGCATTATCATCTATAGTTCAATAGGTTAAAGAAGGTGTGAGTCAATAAAATCGATTTTCAGTTTCTGGAAATGCTGAATGGCGAATAAAACTGTCTGTCTTGGGGACGAGGTCTGGTTGGAAAGATTTGCAATATTTGAATAATGGAGTACTTATACATTGTACATTTCGTAAATTGTTTGCTTTTCTCATTCATTTTGTTTGTTTGAAGTTGTTAAATTCTTTCAAAGCCTGGTGATGGTGATTTTATATAGCTATTCTGATCTATAACCAAATTCTTGTTCTTCATATATTTGAAAATGTTAAAACCTGTTTTCCATCTTCATAAACGTGTACTTAAAATTCTGAATCTTGTGATTTTTATTACAAAAGTCCATTTCATATGCAGAAAGTAAATCGTGTGACTATATACGATAAATTTATATTCAAAAACTTATGATTCATATTCGATAAATTAATAAACAATAACCTGATTATTCTAATAAATTAATAATATAATGTATGATGTCATGCAACGAGCATTTGATTCAAAAACAATAATTTGGATATTACTAGCATACTTTTTTTTATCGGTTTATCTCATGGAATTATGGTTAAAGGCAAATCTTTATTGATTTATTAGACCCATGTAATTATGATTTGTTTAAGAGTCGGAACCCCCCCCCCCCCCTTTTTGTCTTTTAAGACCAGGAGTTTTAAAAATGCCTGTTCATTACGATTGATTTTAGCATACTTTATAGGATTGATAGGTTTGAACACATTCCCTCCAACCAACAGTAATTTCATACAGGGATGAAACACACAATGCGTCTTATAAACATATAAGTGTGATAATCTCTGATTTATTGAAAATTCGCTGTACGTATTTAACACGTTGTATTTCACTCTGAATTTTTTTAAATATCCTTTGAGAATGTTGAACTCGATAATTTTAACCTCTGCATCTGACATCTTGGCACACTCCAGTCAAAAAAAGAGTCGAAGTCCGACTTATGGGAAGGAGTTCAAGGTCAAGAGATACAAAATGGTGTTACCCAAAGAAAAGACTTGTTTCAATAATTATACCTGTTAAATATGAGAGCTCAAGCACAAACCATTCAAAAGTTATGGTCAAGATTTAACTTTGAAAATGAGAATCAACCTCCAAGATCAAGGTCAGAAGGCCAAATTCATGGTACCAAGGAGGTTTTGTCATTAGAAATATACAAGGGACATATCAAAGCCTAAGCGCAAACTGTTCAAAAGTTTTGACTAATGTTAAGTTTTTTAAAAAGTAGGTCAAGCTCCAAGATCGATGTCAAAAGGAAAGACAAATTTTAATATCCAAATAAAGGATTGTTGTAAGAAATACATCTGTAAAATATGAAGGTCAAACTCCTAGGACTAATTGTTCATAAATCATTTTCAAGGTTAATATTTTGTTAAAGAGGGTAAAACTTCAAGGTCATGGTCTTGCCACATTGAATATACCTACAATGTAGAAGAGCTAGAACTAACTGTTCAAAAGTTATGGCGAGCGTAAAAGGTTTGATTTTTTTTTTTTTGCAAAATTGGGTCAAACTCCAAGGTGAAGGTCAAAAGGTAATACCGGTATTTTTTTTAAATTTAAACAATATTTTATTTAATAATTTAATTTTACTTGTAACACGTCATTTGATTGGATAAAGGATTTTATCCATTTTGTATAACATAACTTGCCTACGTCACAATGAGTTACGTCAAAAACGTATTACTCCGCTTGACGTTACTTTTAAAATTTAATCAATGTGAAGCATTATTCGGGGGGGGGGGGGATATCTCATTGTCTGCACTGAAATTAAATTATAAGGAATGAAGCTTATTTCAACTTATGTTATCCGATATAACAAAACTTGGGGCAGTTTACGCTTTTTTATAAACCGCTTCGCGGTTTATAAAGCGTAAACTGCCCCAAGTTATGTTATATCGGATAACATAAGTTGAAATAAGCTTCATTCCTTAAAGCACTGATGTTAATTGTGAACAGGATTGGGCAGCAGGCTCGGCCTATTTTAGCCCTCTCCCTACATTACGGTCAAGGTACAAAATAAATAACAATAATAAAAAAAATGTACAAAAGAAGAAAAACAAAAAGAAAAATGAACAAAGTAACAGAAAAAAATTTACAGAGAAAATGATATAAAAGAATGTACAAAAGAGAAAAACAGAAATGAACAAAATAACAGGAAAAGGGCAAATTATAGAAAAAAAATAGACAAAATACAAAGTAGTATTATACCGGTATAAGGTAATATAATAAAGGTATCTAATTCGTATATTGGCATTCAAAGGAAGGTCTTCTCACAAAGAATACTCCTGTGAAATATGATAGCCATAGCTCCAACCAATCAAAGGTTAAGGGCACGATTAATGTTTTTTGCGGACAACCAGACAAAAATAATAAAAAAAAAGATAGACAGACGGACGGGCAAAGCGAAAACTATATACCCCCGAATCTTCGATTACGGGGGGCATAAATAAGAAGGATAAAGCATAAACACCCTAGCTCGCATAACATGATTCAAAGACAAATGTGGTCATGGAAAAGCTAGGTTACCCCTTGTTCTGGAAATAAACTCTTCGTCTCTGAGATCAAGATGAAAGTGAGTTCGTTTGTTATAGTTGCCATTGATACAGAAAGAAAATACAGCTCATGATAACTGTGTGTAATTCTTGATATTGTTCTTTTCCAATACCTACTGCGTAAATGTCAGCATGGAATAATTTATCATTCTGATTTTTTTCAATTTGTAGAGGCAGTTCATGAAAATCAATTTATAAAACCATAAAATCACCAGCTGGGGGCTCATTTTTTTCTTTTCATGTTAACTTCACATTTTTTTTTTCAAAGCCACGATTGTTTTATAGAGCATTAATATATAAAAAAGGCAATGCCAGTTTCCTGTTTTGTGACCATTTTAAGGATAAAGAACTTGTCAATCATAGAAAGTCCAAAGGTGCGTTGACGTTACTTGTTGCCTGCACAGGTTACATAAAATCTCAGTAAACTGACGCTTTTATACATTCAACGTGTTGATCGTACACTTGATATATGAGCTGCAGCAGCAGTAATTGATTTAGTTTGGATCTACACGAGGAAACACAAGTGTCCTTCGTACAGTAAACCATGGACGTATAGTTTTTTTTTATATACTTTAATGAGTTTACCCAATTAAGAAAATTAAGTGCTGCCCTAATGATTAAAAGACAATTCACTTTGAAGTGTTTGTGAACAACTGGTGATTCTAGGCTTTTGTGCACAAAACTGACGGCATGAAAGGTGATACTTCTTTTGAGACAATTGATACATACGTTTCAGAGTATTATACAGATCCTGACACACGAGATGACAAGCTAAGCAAACAGTCAGATCTCCAGACTGCTTCAAATATCAACGCGTCAGCATTCCAGACAGGAGCAGAGAGAGGTAAGTACAAATTAATACTTTCCAATCCCCTCCTAACATTACTAATTCTCCAGTATATAGACAGTCAAATTTTGATAGTCTTATATCCTAAATCCTTCTCCTGTTTAAAATATTGCTCCTAAAGTTATGTAAGAATGAATAAAAATCCTGATCAATCAAAAAATAACTGCTACCGAGAATGTAATTTTTATTCATTTAATTAATTATCAATAGATAAAAGTACTTATGAGTAATGTCATGTACTAGTATAAACATCCTATCCCGACAACGTCAGAAGTCCTGTCACCTATTCGGGGGACAGCAACGAGTTGACACGGGACCCCTGACCTTATGGACCCATGGGTGTTGGTTTCCGACGATGTCCAACGTTTTGAGGACTAATTAAGTCTATAGTATTTTTTTCTTTGATACTCTATTTAATTGAGCATAAAACTGATCCTTGGGAAGTAAAACTTATTGAAGTATCCTCCACATACAAACAAACAAACACACGAGGGGAAATTTATGGATTATAATACTCACCTGTAGACGGCAACTTTTCCCGGATTGGCAGCATGATGTATTTTACTAACCGTGCTTCTGCAGATTTAATAGATAAATATAGAAATTTTCCTTAATTTCCATTTTGGGTCATGAACTATACGTTATTACGGTGACGTCATAAGTCTTTACTAAGGTGGTCGACCTGTTCAAAACATTCAATTTATATTATTGAGGTTCGAAAAATAAATCATTTCGGGGGTTAAAATAATAATACGCAAATATTAAATATAAAAGATCCTTGAGCTTGATTTCCCATATTGGAAGTGTAACACGGAGAGTCCTGTTGATGTCTTGTTTAACGGTGACGTGTGCAGAATACTGAGACAAGCTTCACTTTTCATTATTGCTACAGTAATTGAACGTATTAATCAATAAAATGAAGGACTTAACATCAAATAATAAATTTCCACAAAATTATCGTGGTGTGATACAGAAAATTTGCTTTTTAAAATACCAGATAAACTATTTTAAAGCTCGGTTTATTTGTTAAAAATCATCAGTAACAAAATCAATGAAGAGTGTAATCCAGAATTCACAATGTTGCATCAATTTTTTTTAATGCAAGCTTTATTCTAATATAAATTAACATTTTATGATTTAAAAAATTAAAAACATTTAAATCTTTACACATACGAACGCTTGTTAAAAGATTATTAATATGATGTATATGCACTCAGAATTTGATTCTCGCAATCCTTTTAAGAACATAAGTCATCGTTTGATCATCACATTTGCGTAGAATAGAAACCAATATTCGTGCAGTTGGGAATGCCCATAGCAATCATATTGCAGAGTTTATTAGATGAAATAAAATCCCACAGAAAGGAAAGAATTATAGGGCTATTGAACTTATATTATTGAATTTAACAAGAACTGGCTGTACAAATGCACAAGATTTTCTTTATTGTAAAGCTGACCATTTTTATATTATTTATTACTCACTATGGATGAAGATGCAATGAAATTTTGTACATCGGGTTATTTGAAAAAATTCCACTAAATTAGTCATGTATGCGAATGCCTTTGCTTCTTTTAAATATATAGCTGGATAGAAATTAACAGGAATGTCCTGTTAACTTGACAGTGTTATAAAGAATTCATGCTACATGTATGTATCTCTTATCAAGCATCCCTATAACGGATAGGAGAAAGTCGGCAACTTTTCCCGGATTGGCAGTATGATGTATTTTACTAACCGTGCTTCTGCAGATTTAATAGATAGATATAGAAATTTTCCTTAATTTCCATTTTGGGTCATGAACTATACGTTATTACGGTGACGTCATAAGTCTTTACTAAAGTGGTCGACCTGTTCAAAACATTCAATTTATATCATTGAGGTTCGAAAAATAAATCATTTCGGGGGTTAAAATAATAATACGCAAATATTAAATATAAAAGATCCTTGAGCTTGATTTCCCATATTGGAAGTATAACGTGGAGAGTCGTGTTGATGTCTTGTTTAACGGTGACGTGTGCAGAATACTGAGACAAGCTTCACTTTTCATTATTGCTACAGTAATTGAACGTATTAATCAATAAAATGAAGGACTTAACATCAAATAATAAATTTCCACAAAATTATCGTGGTGTGATACAGAAAATTTGCTTTTTAAAATACCAGATAAACTATTTTAAAGCTCGGTTTATTTGTTAAAAATCATCAGTAACAAAATCAACGAAGAGTGTACAATCCAGAATTCACAATGTTGCATCCATTTTTTTTAATGCAAGCTATATTCTAATTTAAATTAACATTTTATGATTTAAAAAATTAAAAACATTTAAATCTTTACACATACGAACGCTTGTTAAAAGATTATTAATATGGTGTATATGCACTCAGAATTTGATTCTCGCAATCAAAGATTTAAATAGCTGCAGATCTGTAGCTCTCCGAAAAAAAATATTTTGATAGATCTGCAGCTAAGATTTAAACACCTTTCAAGAACATAAGTCATCGTTTGATCATCACATTTGCGTAGAATAGAAACCAATATTCGTGCAGTTGGGAATGCCCATAGCAATCATATTGCAGAGTTTATTAGATGAAATAAAATCCCAGAGAAAGGAAAGAATTATAGGGCTATTGAACTTATATTATTGAATTTAACAAGAACTGGCTGTACAAATACACAAGATTTTCTTTATTGTAAAGCTGACCATTTTTATATTATTTATTACTCACTATGGATGAAGATGCAATGAAATTTTGTACATCGGGTTACATGTATTTGAAAAAATTCCACTAAATTAGGCATGTATGCGAATGCCTTTGCTTCTTTTAAATATATAGCTGGATAGAAATTAACAGGAATGTCCTGTTAACTTGACAATGTTATAAAGAATTCATGCTACATGTATGTATCTCTTATCAAGCATCCCTATAACGGATAGGAGAAAGTTTTATTATACACCCTGTTTAAAAAGCGGAAGGGTATTTAAAAATCGAGATGTCCGTCCGTCCGTCTGTCACGCTTTTGGGTACCCATCTCTTATCTGCAACTCCTGTCATACCACTGAATGAAATTTAACGAGACTTTCGCAGAATCTTTATTATTATGTCGCCCCGAACGAAGTCGGGCGACATATTGCGATTGTACGCATGTTGTTGTTCTCCGGGCTGTTTCTCGGAGATGGCTGGGACAATCTTCCTGAAACTTTCCTCAAAGGAGGATCACTGGTTGTAGTTGTGTTGTGTGGTCATTCAGTTTCAAAATGGCTACCGTTGCCGTGGAAACCTGCAAAAAGCGACGAATTTTGTCTGCGAGTGTTCTCTCTGGTCCCTTGAACGTTCTTCATGAAATTTTATTTATGTAATGATTATATCTGTAATTGTGCTCATTGGATTTAAAAATTGCAAATTGTCAATAGTTTCCATGGAAACAGGGGAAAAGTGAAAATTCTTTAACTTTGATTTCTAAATCAAAGTATTGAAAGGACTGATACGAGTTGATGGTTGTCCAAGCTTAGCTAATGGGTATTGTTTTAGTAATGAAAAAATGAATATCTCGTCCAGTTCGGGGCGACATACGCTATTGCTTGCGATAGCAGACTTTCTAATCACATATTGCCATTGTGCACCGCCTATTTTACTTTTTTATCCGACACATATTTTGGGTTTCCCATAGCAAAACATGGATACTGCAATTATATTCATATGGGAGGCGGGGGGGGGGGGTTATCATTTATTAAGCTAATTGCTCACAGTACCTCTAGTTTTCTTTACAGTTACTGAATTTTATGCAACGACATATTGATTTTTCCCCGAGAACGTTTTGCTTTAGTTGACTTGCATGCACGGTGTTAATTACAGTACATGTATTCCAAAATAATGAACAAACAAAATTAACGTTATGAGTTGGTGAGTTCTTCTAAAAGCATTATTTAAACCTTTTTCCCCTAAAAAATACATTTTCATTATGAAACATCTTTTAAATTAAGAAATACAAGCTAAATCAGAGAATCTATGTCCCCCGCTAAAGAAATAAAAGCAGAGCATGCATAAACTCAAAAGCTTCTTAGATATCGCCCGAAAATGAAAGTTTTGTCATACACAAAGAATGTACGGCTTTGGTTTTTGACCTTTTCACCTCAAAATAAATAGGGATCTTTCCTTGCCCATAGCGAGATGTGGACTAAAAATTCATTGCAAAAGCTCAAAGGCTTCTCGAAATATCGCGCAGAAACAAACGTGTTAAAACAATCATAATTTTTGAATTATGACCATGACCGTTTGACCTCAAGTTCCTTAGATCATAGGGAGATTTCATTGCAAAAGCCTTAAGACTTCCCAAGATATCGCGTGGACACGAAAGTGTTACAAACAGACAGAAATACAGACCGACAGACAGATGGACGGACAGACGGACCGAAATTGATATCCCACATTTTTAGCAGGGGACAAAAACACGAAAAATTGAACTGAACATCCGTAATTTCCAGATGTAATCCTGGGTGATTCTGACAAATTAAGATTATTTCTAAATACGTGTATTTAAAAAAAATAGATAAATGTTTCATATGCACCTACAATGATTTCCTGACTCCAATGTCAGTCGGAACGATGATATACCGAAAATTCGTATCATTACCGCTACAAAGTCATTACCGCTACAAAAAAACGTTACAATACCGCTACATATAAAAGTATGCATTACCGCTACATTGCTTCTTTCGTTAGGAAACTACGTATGATGGAGAAGAAAGAAGGACTTTGAGCAGGATGTTTTTTTTAATTATTAAATTTTTTTTTATTAAAACATATTTTATTTATTAAAACACTTTTTAAAATTCTAAAAATCAAGCACTATTTATAGATATCATAAAACCCACAGTCTTCACACTGTCGTACTGCTGTCTTGTAAAGTAATCCGGCATTCCCGCGATTTGTTATAAACTTCTCAAAAGTAACATACGTTCTGAAAGTGTCACTAAATTATAACATTCTAGCTAAA